GGGGTTATCATTTGTATATTCAGCCGTCTATGGGCCATTAGAAGACGCTAATGATCGGCCGTTAGTTGTCAACCTTCGCCCGGCGATGGCCCATTCGAGGGCCGAGAAAAAAATGGAAATTCAGGGAACAAAGACCGGTACAGCAAAAGAATGGCGCAGATAGTCAAACAGAGAACAAAGGACCCGAGATACAGGCAAGACGCAATTTCGTAGCGTCAAATTAGCTCCTTTCATAAGAGACGAACCAATTCTATGGTTCATGATGCTAGAGCGTGAATTCGCAGCTTATAATGTACGCTCTGATGCCGTTAAAAGCGCAGCAGTTGTCCGACATTTGGACGTTGCGACCTTGAAAATTGTGGCAGACATAATTGCCATCACGTCTAACGATTCATATACTGAAATAAAGGAGGCACTGATCACACGCTTAACAGCGTCGGAAGAATCAAAATTTTGACAACTCTTTACAGGCTTGGAGCTACAGAACAAAAAACCTTCAGTTCTGCTAAGAGAAATGAAATTATTAGCAGGAGACAATGTAAGTACCCAAGTCCTACTGTTAATTAATCAAATGTGAAGAATGAATTTCTGATAAAGATTTTAATGAGTAAATTGAATGACGCTACTGCGCTTATTAGTACAGTCGTAAGATTTTTAATTATTAGCATTTTTAATCGTGACAAGAAGATATTTCCAATGTAGTACGTTTGGGATCAGGTAAAATTTCTACTCACTCAGTGGACAAACGTTAGGCTAAAAACAGAATTGTAGTTATTTTGAAACTTAAAGAGGGAAAAGGCTTCTAGAATGTATTCAAGGGAGCTTGCAGGCATATCCTACAAGCTGGCRGGTTGACTACCCTTGAATACGATGATTTYCTAGTCTAGAAGCCACTTATAGTTGATGTAACAAAGAGAARCTTATAGATTGTGTTCAAGGGAACTTGCAAGCATGATCTACAAGCTGGCGGGTTTACTAYCCTTKGGTACGATGATTTTCTAAGGAGTGTACTGCAAGGGAACTTGTAGTCAGCCTAGCAAGGTGCGAACTCAGACCGAACCTTGAACACGATGACTTTGAGTAACATACTCAGTAAAGAAGACTTCTAGAATRYATTCAAGGRAACTTGCAGGTGTGACCTTACGAGGTGCGGGAGTTACCAAACCTTGGGTACGATGATTTTCTAAGGAGTGTACCACAAGGTTACTCGTAAAGCAACCTACAAGATGGCGGGYTTACTACCCCTGAATACGATGATTTTCTGGTCTARAAGTCACCAGTAGTTRAATTTCTATAGAKCAGACTCACATGACACAACGAAGTTGATTCTCATAAACTCAGATATTATTCAAGATGATTTCCTCAGATGCAAGAATCRCAGCTAAGATTATGTCCTCCGATGCAGAATCAAAGCTAAGATGACGTCTTCCGATGCAGGAACACAGCTAAGATGATGTCCTTCGATGCAGGAACACAGCTAAGATGATGTCCTCTGATGCAAATCTCACAGGATGCGTCTTGGAAGATGACAGATTGACAGCGCTGTATGAAGCTGGCGAACTTCTAGAATCTTCGTCTTAGAAACTTCTCAAATTTGWACGATAACGCTCTTTAAAATGAAGCGAATAAATATYAACRAAATGTAATTTAAAAGGTAACTAGTAAACATAAAGAAAAATAACACAATCTTTCTTATTTAATGGGGAGTAAAACTTTTTCACAACCGATATCGAAGAGAATGGTTTTACATCTRATCCAACTAAAACAACTGATTTCGATCTTTTTTTCCTTGATATCTCAATTCATTCATAAACAACCAACGTTTTATTGATTAGCAACTAACATCTTAGCAACCGAAAACTTATTGATTTAAATCTCATTGATTAACAGCTGACTGTTCTCCGACTACTCAATCCGCGTCTCTTTAAAT